ATGTTGAGTAATTGTAGAAGTAGAATAAAATGTATGAGAATTGGTGTTGAAAGTGAAGGGTATTTATAGGTATTTATAGGAAAAAAAATCAGAATTTTTTAGGATTTTTAAAAAAAAAATTTAGATTTTTTTTCATAATTTTATTGTCCAAAAATCGCCAGCCGTTGGATTAACATTTGGAATCAAATCGGAGCGCTGGGGGAGTGCCACGTGGCTTCCACCCGTTGTGGCTGACGTCAGCGCACGCGGGTTCAAATTTTTTTAACGTTGGCGCGTGCATTGCCTTCGGGCGAAAGTAAAAAATTTGAACGCTAGCGCTACAGTGTCCGCCAAAGGTTATGTGCCACGTGTCGCGTCCTGGGCTCTCCAATCATAATTTTTGCTCCGTGCGGGTGGGTGTGCCTGCTGTGGTGGGTGCCCGCCCCCCCCCCCCCCCGGGCCTGGGCTTCGCCGCTGGAACGAGTTTTTTGTTTTTTTCCCCCCTCCCCTCGGGCTGGGCTGCATGGCTGGCGTCGCTCTAAGGGGCTCAAAAGAGTACAGAAGCCCAAATTCTCTGTAGACACATGCTGGCAAGGAGATCTCCACTAGTTGGGTGTGCAAATGTAATCTTTCAGCACACCCAAATGGTTAAAAATATGTTGTAACCATTGAGTTTTCACCCAGTATTGATTGGGTGGGCTTGCAGCCTGGGATATAATCTGTTGATCAATGCATCTGTTAAGGCAAATTTTATTTATTTTGGTAGGACAATCATAAATCACAAAACGTCACATATGTGTTGGTATCCGTCGAGGAAGCTCATGGGTTAAGATCCATGATATGAAAGTTTAAAATACTTATTAGAGCATCTCCAATCCTTTTGTAAACCTTTTTCTCAACTTTAAATTCTGGAAAGAAAAAAACAGAAGACATAAAACTTAGCTTCAACAAACAATAGAGCCGAGTAGACCTTGACTTGCAGATCAATGGTCTCAGGTTCGAACCCTCGTCACACATTGATAGTGCGTGTTTGAGAAAATCCCCACCTCCTTCTTAACTCTGGCACCAAAATAAAAAAAAAAAAAAACTCTTGTCCAAACTATATCCAATTTGGAGGGAACATATAAATAGTATACTTGAGTGACATCCTTGCGTAATAGGCCATGTTAATATTCTTTGTATCATTTCAATTTGATCGGACGTCTCCAAATCAACAAAATTAATGAATTATTGACAAATAATTGGGATGCTTAAAATGACAACGAAAAATCAAGTCAGTCCAAAATAGCCCATTTTAAACGTGGAAAGTAAGAACATGTGTGAACAATGGTGCAAAGTAAGAAAACCAGACCGGTTCATGAGGGTTATGCTTTCCCTTTCAATCCCCAAAATTGGCCCCATGATGCGCCCAACGACATGAAAAGATTTTCAAATCAAACGCGTGCACAAAGGACTGTACGTAAATAGTATGATTGGTCTGCAATGGTTCACTATATTTATGAAAAGCTACAAGATCGATCAACAAATCACAGACCACTAATGGCCAAGCACAAATTTGATATTTTCCCGGAAATGTCTACATATTATTGACCCTCCTCATTTTCTCTCCAATTTTCCCAGCAACCAAACAAAACATTACCCAAGAAGAGGCTCTCCAAGTGGAGTCCAATTTTCCCGTCATCAAATTCCCTGTGCCCCCCCACTGTTTCCTCTTTGATATTGTGACATGTGGCACATCATTTAACAACATTTTAACACTGTTAACTCTTCAGCCCATTTTTTTTTATTTTAAAAAAATTAATTAAAAAACACGTTTGAGGCAGACACGTTCTCTCTCCTCTTCATCTTCTACCCTGCGTATCATGACTCAACCCTTGCATCATCTTCCCCCTGCAAAACTCAGCCCCTGCATTTGGTTCGATAATTTTTTTTGCTCGTTGGATGCTGGTTTGTGAGGAAAGCCAGGTTCTGCTTCATAATTTTTCTCCCCCTTTTTGACTTCTGATTTTGGAGCTTTCATATGAGAAACGCTTAAACAAATAATTTGGGACAATCATATACCCATTATGCAATTCATGTAAATCAAACTCATTTGGTTTCAATTTTTTTTCCAGAAAAGAAAATGAAAAAGATGATTGTAACAGAACTTGCATATTGCAAATTTCCATGAAAACTAGCCAATGCCAATGTCGAACAGATGATTCACGAGCTTGGGGCAATTATTTGAGCTTCGTGAGTCTTCCTCTCTCATTCGTCTCAATTCACAATCACCATTGGAAGGAAAATTGCTTCATAATTTTCCCCCTTTTTGGCTGCTGGTTTTGGAGCCATCCTATTAGAATTTTCAATTTGTTCATACTACAGTAGATGAAAACAAAAAGGAAACAAAGACTGAAACCAAATGAATTGCTTAATGGGCATGTGAGTTATTTGTTCAAAAACTTCTCATACGATGGCTCCAAAATCAACAGCCAAAAAGGAGAAGAAAAAAAAAATGAAGGAGTTGAGTATGATAATAGGTAACGTGGAAAATGAAGATGCAATATCGCTTTTGTGTCAAACTTGTATTTTAATAGTTTTTAATTATTTTAATAAAAACAATTGGGCTAAAGAGAGTTAACAGAGTTAAAATGCTGTTAAGTGGTGTGCCACGTGTCACAATATCAAGGAGGAAATAGGAAAACTGGGGGATTTGGTAACAGGAAAACTGGACTCCTCCAAGTGTCACTCACACTTCTAAAAGTTTTACCAATTTCACTTCTGAAATCCAATCACTCCCTTCAAATAACCCAAATACTCAAACCCAATGTCCCTGCTCCTACCCAGAACACTCCTCCTCCTGTACCCAAAATTAAAAATCGCCAAAATACCCATGGCCGGCAATCTCTCCACCCTCAGCTCCGCAGCCCCGCCCAGGGCTCGCCTCCGAGGTGTGGTGTTCGACATGGACGGAACCCTAACGGTCCCCGTCATCGATTTCGCGGCAATGTACAGAGCTGTGCTCGGCGAGGACGAGTACGTCAGAATCAAGGCCGAGAGCCCTTCTGGGATTGATATATTGCACCACATTGAGACTTGGAGCCCCGAGAAGCAGCGAAAGGCGTATGATATTATTGCCGATTACGAGAGCCAGGGGCTCGATCGCCTCCAGATCATGCCTGGTGAGAGAGTTTTTCTATGTTGGTTTTGGCTTTCTGTTGTTTGGTTCCCGGGAAAGTGCCGGATAAGGAAAAAAATATAATGTAGCTCTGGTTTCAATTACTTTATGTTGCTAATAGCACAGCTGTAAATCTAACCTCTTTTTTTTGGGTGAAGTATTCCATGTGGCGTATCCTTTTATTCCTTGGTGTGAATAAGTGAAAAATGAAATTGAAAATTTTGATGAAGTTTTGTGAACAATAGAATGCTTTTGCTTCTTTGGGAGTGTTTTTTTCCCCTTCTGTAGTGACTGTTTTGGTGCTTAGTCCACAATTAGCGTGAGAATTTGAGTAATACTTTGCATGAACTTATGACTTGAGATTGCATTATTCCTTTGCCCATCATCACTTTACAGATGTTCATTAACATTTGGGTAAATTGTGGTGCAGGTGCAGCAGAACTTTGTGGTTTTCTAGATTCTAAGAATATAAGGTCATTCTCAGCCCATGTCAAGTTTTTATCTTCCCTAATAGTCGTTCCTTCTTATGTTGTATGTACGGATAAATGCCTAACTAATAGCTGCGTGATTTTTGAACATTGGCTAGAGGAAGTCCTACTTTCTGCCAAATCAAGTTGTTATCGGTACTAGCTAAAGGTGATTAGTTGGTCTGCCTTGGATAAGACGAGGAATGTTTGGGTTACAAGTGAACCTTGTCCTGATTAGGAATTTAAGTTGTCAAGTTGATCTCCATATATCCCTTTCCATGATCCCTATTATATTTTCCTGGAGATGGTATAAGTTGCAAGCCTAATCAACATGTACTTGGAGTATAGTTGTTATCTGTGCATAAAAGTTACAAAGTTATTTAATTAACGTCAATAGTATTAGTGGCACCTCCTCCCTCTTAGGTACAAGGGCGGAACCTGAGTTCCTGGGTTGAATCTCTAGGGGTTGGAAGTGTATGCTATATTTATATGCATGCTAGTGAAGCTCCTAATCTTCTTTTGTTTGCAAGATTTTGAATTTTTATTTGAATTTACGAATGAAGGTATGGCGATATGCTTATTGTTTTGATTTGTACTATTTACAGGCGGGGGTTAATCACACGCAATGTCAAGGCCGCAGTAGATATATTTCATGAACGGTTCAGGGTAAGCATATTGAAATGCACAAGTCATTGGTTGCACATAAAGAGTTATTCATCTATTACTGTTCCATATTATTTTCTTTTGTCTTAAGAACACGTTACAATTCAGTAGTTTAGTTATTATGTGTTTTTGTTTGGGCAATAAATATGGAGAAGGAATCCAACATTCCAAGCAACATTTGTCAACCGTATACACTAATAAGGTTGACTGGCTGCAATGTTAACATGATAACAGGGCCTCTTTATGCATTAACTCTGATTTGTCCTCAGTTACATTTTTCCTCTGTTCTTAAATTGCAAAAGGAGTTTCTTGTTAATCCCTAATATGATCTTGGACAACTAAAAATATGGTTCCTCATATAGCCAATTTATACTTTCTGCTCTTGCTGAATCAACCCCATCCCTTCTTTCTTTTTTGACTGAATCAACCCATCTTCTCTAGCAATGATTTTCTTGGTGAAATCTAAACAGGAAAAACAATTTTGAAATTCTTTGGGTTATTGTAGTCAATGATCATGGATGAGCTTACTCTGATCTGGCTACTTGCTGAAGTCAGTCATCTTTTGTGTGCTCATTACTAATCTTTCATGTCTGTAGATATATCCCGCACTTACTATTTGATGCATCCCACTTATTGAGGCCCTCCAGCCTAACCCACAAGTAAACTTATTGTAATGTACGTTTGAGGCTCATCTCCTTTCTACTCAGTAGTGGACTTTGATATCTTATTCTCTGTGTTATGGTTGCTGCAGTTGACATTTTCTCCAGCTCTGAGCAGGGAATTTCGACCTTACAAACCGGATCCAGCTCCACTACTGCATATATGTTCAGCTTGGGAAGTTAAACCCAGTGAAATAATGATGGTTGGAGATTCCCTTAAAGATGATGTGAGTGCTTGTGTTTCTTTTACTTCTTTTCAAAGTATTTTTTCTGTAATGTTCTTGCTACGTCTTTAAGAATGTGATCCAGGATAAATGGGCCTTGTTGTATTGAGAGAAAAGAATGATGATCATATAATTTAAGGAACCTGAACTTCTGCATTGCAACTGTGCAGTGTGTTACATTTCTGAGTCGCTGTCTGATCTTGATTTCCGTGATATAAGTAGAAATATGGGAAATGCTTATGAAGAATTGCCTGACTTTGCAGGTGGCTTGTGGGAAGCGAGCAGGAGCTGTTGCATGCTTGCTTGATGAAAGTGGGAGGTATGACTCTCCAGAATACACCAACGTCGATTTCAAACCAGATTTCAAGGTGTCTTCCCTAATGGAAGTTCACTCGCTGTTGGAAGCACATTTTGACCTGTCACCTTGATCCTCGAACCTGTTGCGAACAATCTTCACATTCGATGGAGAAGAAGCCTTATTAGTAGTCTGTATGCATTATCTAGAAAAGAACTAGGTTGCAGCACTTGTTGTATGGCTTGCTCTTTGCTCCACGAAACGATTAGAAGCAAAGAAACTGCAACCCGAAAGTGAAAGAAGAAGAAGAGGAAGGAACTAGTAGAAAATTTCTACTAGAAACCAGTTAGGCGGAAGACCAATCAATTTGCATCAGACTTATATTAGTTTTAAAACTTGTGTTGTACTTGGCCTGGTAAAAGCTCATTATCAGTTACCAAGAACCTGACCAAATGCTTTGGGAGACATTAATCAAATTTCCCACCCAATATATTTGTGGAATGGTTTAACGAGAGCAGGAGAAGTGAAGGTACGAGAGGAATCTAGGATTGCCTCAATGCTATTCGTTTTCTCCAAACCGCTCAATGACTTAGAAAGAGGCTTAATCTGGGATATCAGTTTCAATCGTAGTTTCTGTGACAAAGCTGAAGTTGTTTCATCATATTAATGGTGCTGAACTTTGCGAAAAGCAGTCAGTATGTTGTAATATAACTTTTGTTTCAAAAATCACGTATGTATATACGATTGGTGCTGAGCTCTTATCACATAATGAAAACAGAAACAGAAGAAGTGAAGGAGTGCCAGAGCTATGAGGTGCTTCTTGTAAAAATTGGTAGAACAAGTACCCGGGATCTGCGTTGTGCATGTCAGTCTCTTCTCTCTGTTCCCAAGTCCCATCTAACAGCCTCCTTTCCTTCGTTGTCCAAGTGCACAAGGTACTGGTAGCTTAAGCCACGAAAAGAAAGAGAAAAAAATAAAAAGCCTGATTGATATTGTCCTTTGTGTGTCATAAAATTTTCAGATATATGCTAACTCTAAATTGATGATGAGATGTTATTAATAATTGGCACAAATTAATTTGCTTCTTATCTAATTAAAGGGGTTAATGACCTAAATGGTCCTCCAATTATTGCTCCAGTATCATTTTGGTCCACCAACTAAAATTTTCAATTCAAACATCCTTAAACTTTTTATTTTGTACCAAGATGGTCCATCCGTCAAAGTCTGTGTATTATTCCGTGAAATCGAGAGACAAAACTGTATTTTTAGGTGAATATCCTTCTCTAAAAGGGTTATTGATACAAATGATCCCTAACTATTGCTCCAGTATCATTTTGGCCCACCAACTAAAATTTTCATTTGAACCGTCCTTCAACTCTTTCTTCTTCTTTTTTTTGTATCAAGATGGTCCTACTGTTAAAGTTTGTCAATTTTATTGTTAAATTGAGGAGTAAAAATGTCTCTATGAATTAAAATAGTAATATATAATTAAAAATTAAAGGAAACTATTATAAAATTTAGAAAATTTAAAAAAATTGAATCTCACTAGCCACATGGCCTTTTTTTTTTCATGAGACTGACCTAACAATTAATAATAAAAAATTCTCTATTGTTTAAATCAATTAAAATCACATAAATATAAAATATAATTTTTTTTTTTAAAAAGAGTAAACAATAATTAAAAATTAAAGGAAACTATTATAGGAACTTGTACCTAATTTTAAAATTGAAAAAATTGAATCTCACCACCAACATGGCTTTTTATTATTATTATTATTTTATTTGTTATGACATGGACTTAAAAAGTAATATTTGTTTCTCTATTGTTTAAAATAATTAAAATTTTAAAATAAGATAAATACAAAAATAAATAACAATAAAATTGACGGACTTTGACGATAGGACCATCTTGATACAAAAAAAAAAGTGGAAGGACGGTTCAAATGAAAATTTTAGTTGGTGGACCAAAATGATACTGGAGCAATAGTTGAGAGACCATTTCAATCATACCCTTCGACATAGCTTCTCAAAAAGTCGCATATACCCTTCAAAACTCAGTCACGTGGTCATCGCGTGATGAGAAGTGACGGAATCTGTTACGGATGGACCATCTTGGTACAAAATAAAAAGTTTAAGGATGTTGAATTGAAAATTTTAGTTGGTGACCAAAATGATATTGGAGCAATAGTTGGGGGACCATTTAGGTCATTAACCCTTAAAAATACCCGGAAGTGTACGAATCTATTGAAGTATAGATTTGTAAATACGGAATCGTTCCCACGAAGAATTGGAGGCTTATGAAAAGGTCTAGTTTGAGTACGTAAAGAACACTTATTTACCACAACACAAAGTAAAATACAAATTGGATAATAGAAATGAGTAAAGAAAAGTAAAAGAAATGAAACAAAACAAGAAACCAAAGGTAAACACAATTAGCATTTTTGTGTCACTCCTGTATCACCACTTTATCATAATTGTAACGCTTCTTTATCACCTGGGTACTGTAACATTTCTTGGTCAAAGAAGAATTTATGAACTTTCTGTGTTTTCTAGTTTCGACCTTTGTCCGGTTTTTGACTTGTAACTTTCAAACTGTTAATCCAAATTATACGTTCTTTACATGGTTGGATTTAGCACAGAAAAATGAAGAACTAAACTCGAACCAAATGTCAAAACCAGTTACGAAAGTGTACATAATGCAATAAAAATAACATTCAAAGTTTCAAACAACAAACACAAACAAAAAGGGGAAGGGGGTGTTTTTTATTCAAGTGACCTAATTCTAATGCTTAAATGTAACCGAATTCTAATTTTTAACAAGTTCAACACATGTGATTATCAAAGTGTAACTTAATATGGTGACAAACACTAGGGTTTTAGGAATCCACCCTAAACAATCCTACTCATGTTTATGGATACTCAAGTTATGAATTCTAGATACACTGATGAAAATGTTCACAATCAAGACCAGGTTTAGTAGCTCAAGACGCATTAATTTTCTCTAAAATAAGTAAAATGTGTGTTTAGTGCTACAATACTTGTGTTTCCTACACAATCAATGCAGGTGTGTTTAGTACTTCAATTTAATCATATAAAGAAACCCATTAAGTTTGAAGAGAATATGAACATCACAAGAACCCTAATAGTATGATGTTTACATTAGGCATTCAAGAAACCAATTTACATGAATGATTCTCACTCCATCCATTAGTTCCTTAGGAAAATATGAAGATACATATAATCCTAACAATCTCAATAAGTATGCTTTCAAGGGTGATCAATCAAAGAAAACATACATCGAAGATAAATTAATTTAGTGAAGAGGAATTCATCAGCAACATATAGAAATCCATAAACTCAAGCATCAAAACAATAAAGTATTCATATTTAGGACTTCAACCTAAGCCCTAGCTATGAGGTTTAGTTCTTCATGCTTATTACAAACACAAATATAACTAGAAAGAGTTTACAAATTTTGTGAAGGTGAAAGCACAAAAGCCTTGAATGGTGGAATGACTTCTTCATCTTCTCTTGGGTATTGCTTTCTTTGCTTGGATACTCTTTGCTTTTCAGAAAATCCTCAGTGTGTCTAGAATGATCAGCTGATTTCGTCCCTCTAGCTGCCCTCTCTCCCTTGCCAACTCACCAATCCATAGGGTACTCCCCTTTTTCCTAAAGCTTGGTGGGCTAATGTCCCTATTTCATCATTTCTTTGAATTTTATTATCTTAAGTGGGATCCAACTAGCTAGAATGAGATCCCAGCTTACCGAGGTAAAATATTGTTACCAAGTGGTGTGGTAATAAGTAGAAAAGGAAGGGTGACATCCAGTGGAGATAAAGGTGGTCCAAACCATAATTCCAGAGTTAGGATCAATGCTGGATTTGTTGACTAGGCTATACTGATTCAATGGAGCTCAAATTCGGATATGTTGTAGTTAACATCCATTGGAACAAGTTTGATGTAGAGCTTCACCTCATCCGAGCACCGGAGCATGGTGATCCATGGTCAATAAGTTGACCTACGAAAATGAGCAAAACCAGAATTTATGTTCAATAATGCACTTTTAGCTCACATTTATTCAAACCAAGATAAAATCTATAAAAACGCGAAAATGAAAGCAAAATGCTATAAAATGTCAAGAACTAACTCAAAACATTGGGTGAATGACATGATAAATCATGTATAAAAATGACCCCAACATGAGACTCCGGTGAGTTCTAGCCTCCTACTTCCTTTTCCATAAACCAAGAGTCTCTTCTTTTGTTAGAGAACAGGAGAAAATGACATGATACATATCACCATCCACATAAATTGTCACATCATTTTGTACAACTTTTTTAATCTCTAACATCCTTGCTAATAACAATTTGACTTAGTGACACGCAATTTTTACTTTGTTGGAGTCCTCGAACCTCAAATTTCACGGATGACAATTGTTTCTGAATAGAAAGAAAAAGATCTCTAAAATCTCTTGTGCAGGAATTAAATGTCGAACGAATCTACCTATCATTTTTTTTTTAAAATTCTCCCACCATAAGCTGGCAAGGATTTTGTAAAATCATACCATATGGCATATGGGACCAAGTTGGGAATGCTAACCGTGAAATAAACAAAGGCATGTGCCCACGGGCTCAACTATTCATGATTAAAACAGACACGAAAGAGGAATACAAATACAAGGTTTCATCAAGGAAATTTTGATTAATACAATAATTTCAGTTGTGTAATATACATGTACTTTTGGACAATCACTAGACCCAAAAGCTTGTAACGAACTTTAAACTACTTGACCGCATCTTTGCTCCTCTTGATTTTCACAGAGCATTTCTTTCTTCTTTCTGTAAGTTTAGCTTCCCACATGCTCCCTCTGCTGCAGAGCTTCGACATACTTTCTCAATATCAGTTCCTACCTGCAGCTAGCTACCATAACACAAATTTAGCAGTTTAGTTGTGAAAATTGCATTCCAATATGAACATTGTAGTAATATCGTTCTACATTTTTTAAAGAAAAACACTCGTTTCAATCTAATATTCTTGTACGTGACAGTTTATCTAGTATGCCAAAAAAGAAAGTACATATATTTAAGCTTTGTGTTTTATGTTTTTACTAAAACAAGAAGGGATAACTTCTTGTTAACATGATCAACTAGAAAAAAAAAATCATATTGCTTATGGAGTAGAGCTTTCTAATTGTTGTTCGCGTAGCAATGGAAAGATTCTCCATTTCAAAGATTCTGAAATGCACATAAACATTCAACTCTTATTTGGTTGACTTCAAAAGGAACATCTAAATCTAACGGTAATGTATTTTAACATGCACAAATTCAGCAGTTTACTTGTCAAAACGTGCATTCCAAAATGAATATATATAGTAGTAATATCGTACCACATTTTGAAAATAAAAACACTCATTTCAATCTAGTACTCTTGTACGTAATAGTTTATCCAGTATGCCAAAAAAGAGAGTATATATAGCTAACATAATCAACTAAAAAAAAAAAAAAAAAAAGATTTTGCTTATGGACTGGAGCTTTCTAATTGTTGTTCGCGTAGCTATGGAAAGATTCTGAAATGCACATAAATATTCAACGTACTCTTACTTGATTGACTTCAAAAGGAACATCTAAATCTAACGGTCATGTATTTTAAGATTTTGGAATGCGATAGAATTATCATATTAAAGTTTATAAGTAATAAAATAAGGAAATTTAACCTGTTGGCTTTTACATTAAAGTTTCTCACTCACAACTCACAAGCACAATCAAAAAAGCAATCAAAATGGACAAA